GAGAGAGAGAGAGAGAGAGAGAGAGAGAGAGAGAGAGAGAATGAGAATTCAAGATTGATGTAAGGTGTCTTCTTGGTCACCCATAATCGTATTTATTGAGGCAGGGTCTCCCATTTGAATCCAGAGCTCACCAGTACAAGTAGTTGAGCTAACCAGGTTGGCCCAGCGATCCCATTTCTGCCTCCTGCCCCTTGGGTTCCAGGCAGGCTACACGCTCACCCAGCACACGTGTGAAGTCTAGGGCTCTGAGCTCTGGTCCTCATGCTCGCATGATGAGCCACCTCTCCAGTCCTGCACGTTCTCAAGTACTTACGTTTTCAGAAGTCAGTTGAGATCTAAAAGCTGGTATTGCTTTTTAAAAGACAGAAAAGCTATTTAACAGTCATTCCATGAAGTGTGTCTGTCGGTCATAAGAAATGGCATGCTCAGCAGAAACCAACATTGACAACTGCTGGAGAACAGAGACTTGTCTTTAGTTGCCAGGTGATCTTGGCTAAACCTTTAGGTTTAAAGGATAAACTCCTCAGCATCTCCGACTTGGTATGCTTTCTTCATAGGTCTCAGTTTCTCAGTGCTTTTGGTAGGTCTGTATAGCCTTGGCTGTTCTAATTCACCTTCATACTGTCTTCCTTCTTGTGTCTGAAGAAGAAAGGGACTGTGTAGATTTCTGTTGTTGTTTTTGTCTTGGGTTTAGAAGGTAAAGATATCTGTGTACTATACCATATTCACATGTTACATTTTATATTTATTTAATGCCATAGTTATTTTCTTATTCTTTTTTTTTATTATGTGTATGGGTGTTTCGTTGTTATGTATGCCTGAACCATGTGCATGCAATGCCCATGGATGTCAGAAGAGGCATTGTATCCTTGGAAGTGAGTTACTGATGGTTTTGAGCCTCTGTGTGGTTGCCAGAAATCAAAGCCAGGGCCTCTGGAAGAGAAGCCAGTGCTCTTAATGGCTAAGCCATCTCTCTAGTCCTGTATTCTGGGTTTCTTATACAGAAAGATAGATCATTTCTTTCTTGAAAAAAATTGTGTGGTGGTAAAGATTGTTTGATTTTACTCCAGGATTGTACCACATGAGAAATAGTATGCACACTATGTGTGATTGTTTTAAATTTGACATATCTTAAATGGAAGAATTTCCCTGCCCAATGTAATTTTAATAACTGCCATACTTTCTCTAGCCCTAGACAACACCCATTTAAAATACTGCCTTAACAGTGACGTTAAGACATTAAAAGAAAGCCTTGTTACCAGATGAGACAGGGTAGAGTTGCCATGGTTATGGAATTTGGTCTTTAGCTTGTCAAGTAAAGCTCCTTCTTACCTTTATTTCGAAAACATTTACATTAGAATTAGTACTTTTGTTAGTTGTATGAATAGTCTGTATCAGGAAGTTGCACATGACCTCAGAGTCTTGGCAGAATCATGTTTGACCCCAGGTAGCTTCTTTTTGAAGAGTTAAAGTCTAATGATAAGACTAATAGAAATTTTATTTTAAAAAAATCTTATTGGTGCTGGAGAAATGGCTTAGTGGTTAAGAGCACTAACTGCTCTTCCAGAGGACCTGGGTTTAATTCCCAGCACCCACATGCAACTCAGGGGGACACAAAACCCATGGCAAAACACTAATAATGCACAAAATTAAATTTTAAAAAATCTTACTTCCTTTGTCTGTTGCTTTTAAAAAATAATGAAATACAGAAATGTCTTAATAGAATGGTAACACTTGCTTGGTCTATATATGAGATTAAGTTTGAGAGATGCAGACCTGCAGTTTAAGAAGAAAGTTAACATTGATTTTGAGGCAATGTTACTAAATTTGGTAATACAAATACTTTTGAAACACAAGATAAGGGCTGGAGAGAGAGCTCAGCTGTTAAGAGCCCTTGCTGCCCTTTCAGAGGACCCAAGTTTGGTCCCAGCACCCACATCCGGTGGCTCACAACTGCCTATAACGCCAGCTCCAAGGGAGCCAGTATCCTCTTACCTCCCTGGGCACTCACACACAGCTATGGGCCAGTTCTCCAGCTAAAGCCTTACCTCTCAGGAGGGAACAGCTGTGTTTTGCCTTGATTCCCCTCTATCCCAATACTACTCTTTTTAAAGTCCTGCTAAGATTAAAGCTATAGAAAATACTTTATTCTAGTGATCTAAGATAAAATACGTGGTTTTTAAGAGAAAAAACAGTGGACCAAGAAGGCAGTGACTGCATCTCCTAGTTCTACCTGTGCCACCAATCCACTGCCCAGTGCAAGTTCCTCACCCTCCCTGGCCCTCAGTTTCCATAGCTGTAGAAGTTAAAGATGTGTACCAAACAGAAGCTGTCTTCTGGTTCCGATGTTTTTGTGATTGATCTAAAAAATAAAGTCCTCTTCGAGCCAGATCTTTAGCCTACACTGGTAGAAAACATTCTGTTTAAAATAATATCAGCAAAGTAATGATTTTTGCAAACTTGTTCTTGTTTTTCAGAAACTCTGTGAAGGTATATTTAAAGTCCTTGTAAAGGATGTCCCAACAACATGTCAAGTGTCCTGCCTGGAAGTACTCCGCATTCTCTCCAGAGACAAAAAGATTTTAGTTCCTGTAACAACTAAGGAAAATATGCAAATACTGCTGAGACTAGCCAAGCTGCATGAGTCGGATGATTCTTTGGAGAAGGTGTCAGAGTTCCCGGTTATTGTAGAATCGTTAAAGTGTCTGTGTAACATCGTGTTCAACAGTCAGATGGCCCAGCAGCTCAGCCTGGAACTGAATCTTGCTGCAAAGCTCTGTAACCTCCTGAGAAAGTGCAAGGACCGAAAATGTATCAATGACATAAAGTGCTTTGACTTGCGCTTGCTCTTCCTCTTGTCACTTTTGCACACTGACATCAGGTCACAATTGCGCTATGAGCTCCAGGGACTCCCGCTGCTAACCCAGATCTTGGAAAGTGCCTTTAGCATCAAGTGGACCGATGAGTATGAATCGGCCATAGACCATAATGGACCTCCTCTCTCACCTCAGGAGACAGACTGTGCCATTGAGGCCCTCAAAGCGCTCTTCAATGTGACGGTAGACAGTTGGAAGGTGCATAAAGAGGTAAGGTTGGGAAGAGTACACACGGCTACCTGGAATTACTTCTCTGGGTTGCTGCACACAGAGAAGAATGCTAAGTTGGGAAATGAAAAAAGTTCCCAGTTCCTTCATTAGTCAGTTCTCTAAACTGCAGGGTATTTCTTAAGTCGTATTTTTTCAAGGGTTGGAGAGTTGGCTCAGCAGTTAAGAGCACTAGCTGCTTTTCCAGAGGACCTGGACTCTATTTCCAGCACCCACGTGGTGACTCAGCAACCATCTGTAACTCTAGTTCCAGGGAATTTGATGCCTCTTCTGGCCTTTGTAGGTAATAGGCATGCATGAGTTGCAGATACACGTGCAAACATAGCACGAATGTGCATTAAAAAAAAAAAAAAAAAGAATAGGGTAAAGAAGGACTACCATTTTGTAGGATGGCAGATGGTCTTCTGAGTTGTGTAATCATTTATCTTTTTTGAGTGCCCTTCAAGAACGAGGTTCGAGTGACAGACTGGAGAGAAAGAGGAGGCTAATGACAGGACTTGCATCTTAAAAGTTACGATAAACCCAGTCAGTTGAACTTGACTAACCAAAGCTGATAGCTGCTGAGAAGAGTAAAAACCATTGAATGCACCTGTCATTAGTCTCCAAGGTGTGACTTTGTAGTGCCATGAAGCCCTCAGAGGCCTAAAGCCACAGCCAGATATTTATGTTTCCATACAGCCCTAGGAAACAGGCTGCTTATACCAGAAAGGGGGAAATGCTGTAAACCACTCAACTTATTTCTAGATGAAGATCTTTCTCTGTGGCCTGGACCTTCCAACAACTCCAAGTGAGGTGGATTTGATAGTTTATATTTGAGTTCCCACAGGAACAGTGTACTCAACATCAAGTTTAGTTTGAGAAAGCCCACAGTTTTAAGTGAAGGGGACATTATCGTTCATCAAGAATCCTAGCATTTCACGTTTTCTTTTTCATGAACTTGAGGAAAGCCAGTGCAGTTCAGGACCTGCCTCTGCGGTCACCGTTTGTCCTGTCTGTTTGAAGTCATTGTCACCCGTGTTTTTGCCGGCAGCCCGCTGGAGAAGGGTTGTCTCAGCGCAGCTATGGTGGGGCACGCAGGCATCTGATTGCACAGCACGGATAGGTCTGTATTGGGAAACCAGATATTTGAAGCTGAGTGCTGGCAGCTGTTTCAGATGACTGCAGTGTAGTCAGCTTAGGAGACTTGGCAGGAAAGGATGTGGGAAGCCCACATGCTCCATTTATGCTTGGAAACCAAATATTTGCAAGTATTTAAACTGTTACGTCTCTGCTTAGATGGTACCTTCTGTGGTTATTTTCCTTACGCTGTTTGTTTTGGTGTTTTTAAGATCTCCCTTTAGTTGTGAAAGCGCCTCTGAGACTGTTGGTTTGCCATTGTTACACTACACTGTTTGGATGCCTGACAAGATGGCTTCTGCCTCAGTGGCTGCTCTGCAGTGTATGTGTGGGAGGCACGTGGTAAGAATCGGTGCATTAAGATGGGCTTTTGGTAGTGTTTCAGCTAAGTGACAGTGGACTGGAGTGCTCTAGAAATGGTGAAGTAGCAAAGCCTCGTTCGGTGTTCCAGAGACACGGGCTCTCCCCACAAAGGGTCAGTGGTCCTAGAATAGGTTTATCTGTGTGAGCCAGGGCGCAGTTAATACAGCTTTATGAAGTATGTGTCATGAATGTGACACTGGGCCAATACTGAAGTTTCCAGAGATATAAACAGTACTGAAAATAGGCTCTTTGACAACCTATTTATAAAAGAATGTCTTCATGTGGCTCTGCATTCAACAGTCGCTCAGCAGATGTTTATAAACAATCACTAGACATTGTCCCAGGCATTGGAGAATGCACTGGCAAATGCTGAGCATTGTCTTTGCCTTCGTGAAACTTTAGTTGTATAGGTAGAAAGTCAGCAAATAGTCGTGTTTAGTGCTAGGAGAGGAGAGTGCCAGGATGGAGACACTTCTGGATTAGCCACCTGCAGAATGCAGGACAGAAGTTTCCTAGAATTAAACACCAAGACACAGAAACCAAAGCACAGAGTGCTTTTTCTGGGGTACTCACTCCTCAGCTCCAGTACAGAGAGGCTGGGTGGAAGAGTCCACTTCCCTGGAACCCACTGTCTTCTGTTTTGATCAAACCAAGGACAGTTACTTCAGTTCAGTGAGCCAGTGGAATGGCTGATGCTTTACATACCAACCAAAAAAGCGATATGAAAAAGCTACTGAAGAATCCACTTTTAAAATAAATACAATTTTTCTTCTTAGGGAAATAATATAAACTCATAGACTATATAAGAAAAAGCCACATAAGAGACCAAAAGTGGCAGACTGCCTGTAAGCTTGCCGCGCAGAAGACAAGCGCTGCTTGCTTTTTCCAGTCCTTCTTTACTGCGTAATGTGACCAGAAGGAAACATCTTTACAAAATGCAGTCACTTTGTAATCCCCATCTCTTCCACGCTGTTCTGAAGAACAGTGGTCTTCGGGGCTGCGTTTGGGACTCAGGTTCACCTCTAGCATGTGTGAGCTCCAGATTTGAGTCTCCAACTTACCAAAATCGTTTCTAAGAATAAAAGTTTCAAAATGTGTTCCTTCTGGCAGAAAGGTCCCTAGGAGCGGCCTCTGGGGTTGAGTCTCCTCGGTTCCTCATCTCTACACTGAAAAGAGAAATTTTAAAAAGAAAAAAGGAACCTTTGAAGAATTATAAACCTTTGGGAAACCATAGCTATTGCTATGGTTGTCTCTTTAACCTTGTATTGTAACTAAGACTTTGTTTGGAGAAGAAAAGGTTCTGCAGCCAGGACAAACTTGAGGACTGCTCTCACTCAGAGACACTAGGATGATGACGCTTATGAAAGAATCCTTGTAAGTTTAAAACACTTGTGAGTATAATTATAAAATAGAAGTCTTTATACTTATCAACCTTTAACAAACCTACTTTCTCATTTAAGAATGAATATAGTGAATTTTCTTGTGAAGTCTATATTCCTGAAATTGATGGGCCAAAGAGTTCAAAAGTTTCCAGTTTTTAAAAATATGTATTGCCAAGTGTGTCCATCCACACTCTTAAACCCTAGGCACCCCACTGGAAATCTTTATGCCTGTGTTAGAAACAGCTAAAGAAAATGGAGGTGGTCGGCTGTGGGTTGAACTGTTGAGCAGGTGTTTCATGACTTCTCTCATTTACGTCTCACCAAAAGCAGAAAGTTAATGACTGAGTTTTTCCTGAGGCTTCACAGATCAGTGCCCTTTCTTCCTGCCTCCTGCAGATGCATCATGGTGGGTCCTGAAGAGTCCTCCTTAAAGCTGCTGTGCTTGCCACATGGGGATTGAGCTTTCCTCTCTCCCCTCCCTCCTGCCCCCTTCCTCTCCCTCTCTCTGCAGTCTCCCCCCTCTCTGCAGTCTCCCCCC